TAATGAAATTTTATTTGGAAAAAATAGTAAATGAAATGTCATTGAAAAATTTATTTTTTTAAGTTAATCATATTAATTTATGATTCTGAATAAAATTGTCAAAAAAAAAATTAGGCTAATAAGTATGTGCTATATGCTAATAGTCAAAAATTTTTGACAAAGTTTAATTTAAAATTTAAAAAAAAAAAAATTTGAATTAGACGACAATTCATTCATCATTTCACTATTATACTGTTTCAAAACTGTTTTTAAAATTTCAGGTGAAGAAAAAAAAAGCAAAAATTGACGGTAATATAAGGAAAGTCTTCTAATTTAAATTTATTAATTTTAATTTATTTATGACTTTTAATTTATTAATTAGCAAATATTCGATCAATTTACTATAATATTTATTCAGCAATTTAATAAATTATATATAAGAAAAGATTAAATTATTAAAATATTATTAATTCTAAGCATCAATATTTTTAATAATTTTGCAATTATTAATTAATGAATTTTTAACGATTCAAAAGTTTTTTTAGAATTTTTAGAAACTTTTAAACCTTTAAAATTTCATTAATAAATAATAGAAAATAAGGTGAATCTAACAATAATGAATGGATAAAATAATTAGTCTATGATAAATTAAAATTTTATAAAACATTTTTGCATATATTAAATTTTATTCGGTGTCTCACTAATTTATAAATTAAATTAATTGAAATAAATTATACTCATTTACATTTTTAATTGATAATATATTCCAAATAAATTATTAAAGAATATATTTTTGTTATATAAAATGATTGTAAATGAGTTTTTAATTATTTCTTCTTTTTTAATGAAAAAGATTTGTAATTAAATAATTTTATTTGCAATTAAATAATCAATCAGTAATGAAATATGCAAAGAAAAAAAAAGTTTTTCTTTTTAATGTTTTTAAAATTGTATAAATAATTATAATTTGAAATAGAAAAAAAATTTGTACAATGAAAAAAAAAAAATGAAATTTGTTTAAAGATTTTGAATAGCAAATTAAAACATATGAATGATAATGATGGAAAAGAAAATAAATGGAAATTTTCAAAAGATTTCGCTATAGCAAACGATTTTACTTTTTATTAGTTAAACTGATTGATTTATTGATTTATTGATTTATTGTTGTTTCAATTTTTTTTTCTTTTTCATTTTCTCTATTTTTCTATTCAAAGTATATTTTTAAAACTGTATTAAGCACCATAAATGGATTTGTTTTAATTATTGAACAATATTATAATCTAATTTTTTTAATTCGAAATTTTATTTTTAGAAATATCTCTAAAACTTTTCATTTGGTAATTTAAAATGCTTTCATAAGTAATAGAAATGATGGATTAAAATTAGCTGACAGAAAGAAAATAGAATCAGAAATGTAATTTTGTTAAATATGAAAATGCATTAAAATTTATATTTGCATTTTTTGATAATTAAAATTTTAATTTTATTCGAAAAAAGAAAAACTGAATGTTTATTACTGAAATTACAGGTTAAAATGCAATTATTTTTATCAAAATTTATGAAGAGAGACAATTTTATTTGTTGAAAATACTAAAAATTGACAAAGTGAAAATTTTGAAAATTTTAAATTTTTTTTTTTGAAAATTTTGAAAATTTTAAATTCTTAAAATAAAAAATACTAACTTTTCTATTTTCTATTTGTTCTTTTAAAATTTGAAATAGGCAAATGGATGAATAAATAGAAAAGTTAATGAAAATAAGAAATGAAAAGTGTTCTTGTCACTGTTGAAAATGTCACAATGAATATTTCGATGACATTGAGAAGATAATTTTGTTTACCTAAATAATTTCTAAAAAAACAATCAAACTTTCTTCATTTAATTAAATCGAATTAATTAGTGATTGTTTAGATTAGAACTTTCCACCTTTTCTAACATTTTAATAGAAAAGAGTTAATTATGAAAGCAATATTAAATGAAAAATTGATAAAATGTAGTAAAAGTGTTTAATTATTTGAAAATGTGTAAATATTTTTCAAATTGGAATGACTCATAAATTAGAAAATGAAAATGGATTGATTCGATAACATTTTTAGGATAATAACGGTACTAAATAATAATTTAAAAACAAGTTTTGAAAAGTTGAAAAGAATTAACATTAATTTAATTGAATGAATAATTTAGCAAAAATGATCAAATATTTTTCATCTAATATAATAATTATAATTAAACTGAAAATAATTAACAATTATATAACTTTTTATAGTTATAAAAGAATAGTTACTAAATTTTATGCTACCATTCTAATAGAAATTCTAATTTTTAATTTAATATTTCGTGTTTTGTTTTTAATTAAAATCTTTTGAAATTCTTAAAATTACAACAAATTTCATAAATTTTCTTTTAATAGTGAGTTTTACATTTTAATTAATTTTTGATGTAAAAGTTTTATAATCTTTTTATTTTTATAATTAATGATTATGTTGTAGGCAACATCAGAATTATTCGAATGAATGCGCAAATGTCGCATAATCTGCGTAATTGTAAACATACTTTTTGGATCATTCATTTCGTTCTCTGATTTCTTCTTTTATATTTAATTTCATTCCTCAATTAGCTAAAATAATTTTTTAAATATAAATTTTCAAAATGAAATTTTATGATTGAAAAGTGAAATTAGCAAACTAAAATTAATTAAAAATATAGCGAATTATTTGTTAACATAAAGCGCTAAATAACATTAGCGCCATTTATTAGAATGAATGAAAAATAAGAAATTAATAAATTTCACTCTGAAAAAAAAACTTGTTATCGTCAATAAGAAAGCTTTATTTACACATTATAATAATAGAAATATTTGATGGACTTTTTATTTCTCTTTTCTACATATCATTTTAAAATACTTTTTAAAAGTAACATTAAATTCAAATTTCAAAAATTGAATCATTTCAAAACTTTTCGATTTCTTTTTTTTAAAGAGAAAACTAACTTTGGGATAAATTTTTAAAAACTACTTTAATCATCTTTAATGGCATCCAGTGATACAACAAAGCAAATGATAATATTGCAATTGCAAAAATTTTAAATTTTAAATTCAAATAGTTCTTTGACCAAGAAAAATTATTTGAGAGTGATGTAACTTAAGACTGACAAGTGATATGAATTTATAATAACATTTTAACAAATTATTGTTGGTTGAAAATTTTTTCCAGTTCAGTTTAAAAAAAAAAATTAAATCTATTAATTAAAAAAATTAAATCTATTTTTTTTTTTACTTGAATAACAGACATTCATTTTTAGTTTCAAACATTTATAAAATTATGGATGAAAAGATAAGTCATTAGCAAATATTTTCAAATATATATCTTTAAAAAAAAAAACTTCAAAATCAAGAATAAATTTGAAAAAAAAGTTATATTATTAATAAATAATATCTTTTGACAGTTTATTTATCATCTTTTAAGCTAATTTAAATAATTAAATAAAAGTATTTAATTTCTCATTTAGAAGCATCACGACGACCACTTCGTAACAATCAGCAGCGTCGATTATCATCCACCATTGCAACACGCAATTCTCATCGATCAAATAAAAATAAAAAGATTAAAAGAAAGCGCCTTCGAAAAAATAAACAAAAAAGGCATACATTTATTGAAATTTGATTAATTAAATTGACATTGAAATTAAATTTATACTTGAATTTTCATCTGATGACATTAATTAAATAGCAATGATAGCATTTAAAATTAAATTATTACTTTCTATTTTACTGAATTTAAACTACAAAAGTTATTTCTAGGCCTTTAAGAAATCATCACCATCGGCTCTAATTTACTGAATTTAAACTACAAAAGTTATTTCTAGGCCTTTAAGAAATCATCACCATCGGCTCTAATTTACTGAATTTAAACTACAAAAGTTATTTCTAGGCCTTTAAGAAATCATCACCATCGGCTCTAATTTACTGAATTTAAATTACAAAAGTTATTTCTAGGCCTTTAAGAAATCATCACCATCGGCCAAGCAATCATTCAACTGTCACACACAAAACTACAACCACTCGACGATTAACAGTTTTAGATCGATGTAAACAAATTCAAGCAAATCCTTCAAATGCAGCTGAAATTTTACTCCGTGAACGACTCATTTTCTCAGTTGAAGGTTAGTGTTAGTTTTTATTAAATTCAAATAACAATCTAAATAGCTAATTTAATCTGACATGCAGTATGCATATGCATGCATTATGATTGAATGCATCAAAGTTAACATTTAAAATAAAGTTTATCAAATTCTTTAATATTATTATCAGTAATCAATAAATCAATTAATGTTACCGCCGTTTTCTTTAACTTGCAATACAAACAGAAAGTGCCAAATTCTAGATGCAAATATATTTAAGTAATTAATTAGCAATTTTATTATCAGTAATCAATAAATCAATCAATGTTACCGCCGTTTTCTTTAACTTGCAATACAAACAGAAAGTGCCAAATTCTAGATGCAAATATATTTAAGTAATTAATTAGCAATTTTATTATCAGTAATCAATAAATCAATCAATGTTACCGCCGTTTTCTTTAACTTGCAATACAAACAGAAAGTGCCAAATTCTAGATGCAAATATATTTAAGTAATTAATTAGCAAAGAATTGCTACTTTAAATTACATACTTTAAATTACAATAAAAATGCAAATACAAAAATTTAATTACTTTAAAGTTCATTAAAGCCATTGTAATTTACAATATAAATATTAATTTTTATCAGTTCATTAATCAGGTCGAATAATTTACAATATACAGAATTTATGGCCTTTAACTGTGTGCCATTTAGATGCTCAACGTTCCCTCTGTTACAATCTTTATTATAGTGGATGGTACATGCAATAATCTTTTCCGTCCGTTACGTGGTGCTGCGTTTCGACCTCATACGCATATTTCAAATATTAATAAATTGAAATATTGCAAATAGTTAGTATAATTTTATAATTTTGAATGAAAGTTACAATCTTTATTATCGTACAATGGATGGTACATGCAATAATCTTTTCCGTCCGTTACGTGGCGCTGCGTTTCGACCTTATAATAGGTTATCATTAATTTGCATATTTCAAATATTAATAAATTGAAATATTGCAAATAGTTAGTATAATTTTATAATTTTGAATGAAAGTTAAAATATTAAATTATTATTCCATGTTTTTTGAAATGAATTCATTGTTAGTAATACCTATTAATATATTAAATATTTCAGATTGCTACTCCCAGAATATGATGATAAACTTTCAGAGCCAGTTGGTTCGTTTTTTTTTTTAATTTTTTTATATAATTTTGTAAAAAAATTTTTTAAAAATTTTTAACGAGTTTTTAATTTTTTGAAAAGTGTCGTATGAGTTTGATTTGCATTAAGTTTAATTAAAAGGATCCTAAAGTGAAATAAAATAAAATTTTATCTTTAAAGTAACCATCGAGAAAGAATACAAAAATCAAATAACAGCTTGAATTTTTAGACTTTTAAGAGTAGTCAATTTAAATTAAAATCAAAAATAAAATCAAATATTTGAATTTGAATTTGTTTTTCGGTTCTATGCATTCAATTCGACCAAATGCTCGTGAAGTTAGTCGTTTGATACTTTCATCTCGAAAATCAGTACAACATGGAGAATACAATGCTTTATTAATGCAATGGGGACAATATCTCATTCATGAGATGGCCAAAACAACACTTGTACCATCGGCCAAGTGCAATATTTGCCAGAATATTCGTGGCCGATGTATGGCTGTGCCTATCTTACCAAAAGATCCAAATAAAACGTAAATATCATTTCATTTATCTTTATTATATTTTATTAAATTCTCTGATAAATGATGAAAATATCTTCTGCTATTCTATTCTATTCTTTTTTTTTTTCAATTTTAATTTTAATTTTAGTTTCAAATCTAATAGATGCATTCGAGTGTCACGTTCTAGTGCCATATGTGGTTCCGGAAAACAAAAACCACGACAACAGCTTAATGAAAATACTAATTTTATTGATGGATCACCAATTTATGGATCTAGTGTTGGAGTAAGTTACTTTTGAAAAAAAAAAAAAGTTTAATATTATAGAATAGTATTTCTAATATTTCTTTTCAAATTAATCTTTTTATTAATAAGGAGCGCAAGTGGAAAAAAAAATGATATTGGAAAGCGCAATTGTCCAATGCCTTTTTTTTTTTTGTTTATATGCCTACGAATATAAATTTAAATTTTAGGATTTGCATAAATTTCGAGAAGGTAAGACAGGTTTTTTGAAAACAGTTTTCTTTAATGGATTCCGTTTGCTACCATTTGATACAAGAACATGCCGGAATGCTGCATCCTGTTCAGCTATTTTCATCGCCGGTGACAGTCGTATAAACTTATTTATAGGCCTTAGTTCTTATCACATTATCTTAACACGAGAACATAATCGGTATGTTTCTATGTTTCAATTAGTAAAAATCCAAATTTCGAAAAAAATTTTTTAATTTTATCAAAAAAAAAAAAAGAAATTATATTATAATATTAATTTATTACAAAAAAAAAAAGACTAAAAGTGAAATTATTTGTTATAATTATTTTAAAGTAACTAAAAGAAATATTTAAAATATTACTAATAATTATGATAACAAACTATTAACAATTTATAATAAACTATCATTGTTTTATTACAATAAAATATTTTATTCATAATTTTTTGAAATTTCAATAAAAAATTGTCTACTCTGGAATAAATATATTTTTTATTCATACTTTTTTTTTTCTAGGAATAGCATAGTGATAATAAAAAATTTCCTATTATTAGCTTTAATTACTGTATCAGTAATTGCTTTATCAACAATTATTGTATCAGCAATTTCATACTTGTATTATCATCATTTTACTACAAAAATGTATCCATGAAATAAGGCAAATTTATTAATTTTTCATTTTTCATATAAAATTTATCAATCTGTTAAAATTTGTTACTTAATTCAAAAAAAAAAAAAAAATATATTTTTTTTCTTTAAACTATTGTCTTATATCGCATTTTTATCTGCGCTAATAAGCTGATCAAATATTATTTTCATAGTACGTGAATGCAACAGTTTAAAATGAGTATTATCAACGTAAATCACACGTGTAAAAATCACGTTCACGTGATGCATCGATTGTTGACATTTGTTTTGATATGATGACATGAAGGAAAGTTTTCTCAATAACCAAAGATTGATTTTAAAATTTTTGTTTTCAATAAGTGAATTTTTGAAGCTTTCATTTAAAAATGATATGTTTTTATTTTAGAATTATAACATTATAAATAATTAATTAACTTTACAGCTATTTTTAATTGCATTTAAGTTTAAATAAACTTTTTTTGACAGATTGGTTAATGGCCTACGAAAGTTAAATCCACATTGGAACGGTGATCGATTATTTATGGAAGCAAGAAAAATTGTTGGTGCAGAAGTTCAAGCTATCACTTATAGGTTACACATTTAGTTTTACTTTTTCTAATAATGATTTTAGTTTAATTAATTAATTAGAAATATTGAAATTAAAAAATTTGATAAATTTCATTGAAGAAATAAATTGTTGATCATTAATTGAAAATTTCATTGAGCCAATATTTCATCCTAAATTTACTTAATAATATGTTGGTATTATTTTCAATAAATTATCCATTCATTACAAAAATTTCCTGCTAATTATATAATTATTATGCCTAAATGATAAATATTGAAATTAAAAAAAAAAATTTTTAAAAAAAAAATTATTAAAATTTGATCTGTTTGCAGAGAATTTTTACCCGCAATTCTGGGAAATGCATTTGCAACAACAGTTGGTCACTATCGTGGGTATAAGCAGAATGTTGACCCTACTTTGGTCAATGAATTCAGTTCAGCAGCTTTTCGATTTGGTCATGGAATGATTCAGGTATGCAAATATGAATTTCCACTCAAAATTTCTTTTTATTTACTTTCTTTTTTTTTAGCTGAAGTAAAAATTAATAATGGAAATGAAAAAAAAAAGCCAAAAAATTTGTTTAAATATTTGATTGACTAGAAATAATACAAATGATAATACAACTGATAGAAAAAAAAATCAAATCAAATCATTGATTGATTGATAATTAGTGATTTTAATTCTTTAGAAAAAAATCAAATCAAATCATTGATTGATTGATAATTAGTGATTTCAATTCTTTCATCTGCTAAACATAATTAACATTTACTAATTTTCCATTACAGTGATAAATTTGTAGTAAATTTTAGGAAATTTATCTACGATTAGATCAACATTTTCATAACACTTCGTTGGGAAGTTTTTCATTTGTTGAAGGAACATTACATACCGATCGTTTGATATTTGGTGTAAGTTTACATATATCGAATTCATTTGCAATAAAATTACGTAGAAATGATTTTAATGAGTGAATAAAATTAATTTTATGAGTAAATAAAATTAACTTTGTGAGTAAATAAAATTAACTTTATGAGTAAATAAAATTAACTTTATCAGTAAATAAAATTAACTTTATGAGTAAATAAAATTAACTTTGTGAGTAAATAAAATTAACTTTATGAGTAAATAAAATTAGCTTATAATAAAATTTGCTATAGAGGAATATTTTGTTTGCATATAACTATTGTAAATAGATAGATATTATAAATATTTTCTTTTTATTGATTTCTTTTTATTGATCTTTTTATTGATTTATTGATAAAAAATTGATAAGTGTAATTAAGATAAATTTGATAAATAAAAATTTATTAGTGAGCAGAAGTTATGGAAATGCTTAGGGTGGCATTGATCCCATTTTGCGTGGTATGATGATATTACCTGTAAAACGACCACAACGACTTACGAGATCGATAACAGAAAATATGTTTGGTAATACAGACTTGGGTACCATTAATATACAACGTGGTCGTGATCACGGCTTACCGTCATATACGCGATTTCGACAATTTTGTGGACTTTCACGTGCTACCACGTTTAATGATGTTTGTTTCTATTATTTCATCCAAATTTACAATTGCTCATCTATTTGATTAGTTTAATTTAATTCTTTTTTTTTTTTTTTGAAATACTGAATAAATAATAATTAATTTTAATTTCTAAGACATTACAAAAAATGTTTGCTAATTAGTTCAATAATTTTAATTATAAATTTTATTGAAGAAAACAAAGATTATTAGCAAGAATGGTACAATGTACATTGTATGCACTAATTTAGATATTTAATTATTAGCAAAAGTTTTAATAGCTAATAGCCAATGAGAATAATTTAGTTAAATTTTAAACTTTATTTAATCTTTGTTTGAATTTTTAAGTTTTCACGCGAAATTATGAATCCTCAAATACGAGCAAAACTAAAGCAAATTTATGGTACACCAGGTATGATTAACTTTTCAAAATTTAGCTAAAATTTCATTCATTTTCTCATTAAAACTTTCTCTTTCTTATGCACTAATATTTTTATATTTCTAGTAACAAAAAATAAGAATTTGATTATTTTTAGTAAAATGTAAATTTTCATTTTAATAAAATTTCAGATAAAGTAGATTTATTTGTGGGTGGTTTACTAGAAGATCCTGTCCAACGAGGTTTTGTTGGACCAACTTTTGCATGTATAATTGGACCACAATTTCAAAGGACACGAGATGGTGATCGGTAAAAAAAAAAATTATTCAAATTTTAGCATACCTTAGTTTTCTAAAATTTAATGACAACAACAAAAAACAGTGAATTTTTATTTAATTTAGAATTTATTTTATTCATTTTCAACATAATGTAAGTTTATATTAGTTTGAAAATTAGATGAAAAGTGATATATCAAAAAGGTTAACTAATTAGCTATTAATAGAATAATTAATTGTTTCAATTAAAATACAATTACAGGTTTTACTATGAGAATCCAGGTATCTTCACGCGAGCTCAACTGTCTGAGATACGTAAAAGTAGTTTCTCACGTTTACTATGCGATAATGGTGATAATATCAGTAAAGTACCACGTGAAGCATTTCGGATTGGTCAGATGACATCATGTGGTCAAATATCACAAATAGACTTATCAAAATGGAAGGAATAATTGGAAATAAGAATGATAACAGATCTGATAAGAATGATAATAGATCTGATTTTTATTTGAATATATAATAAGCTCAAGTGATCTGACTGCCAAATGTCACATAAAAGGGAAAAGCAATTAAATGCTTTTAAAATTTAATAATTTATATTGGACTTACTTTGGAACCATTTTTTAGATAAATGATTTCAAATAAACTTTTTATACCATTTTATGAAATCCTCACATGAAATTAAAATGGAATTTAAATACTTATTAAAGACTGAAAAATTACCTTTTTATTCTATAAAGATTAATTATTGAGAAAAATATGTCGCATCATTAAATGACTATATAAATAAAACTCTGCCTGAACTTTTTCAATTAGTTTCAACTTTTCGAATTTGAATTGATGAAAAGAATTACTAAAATATTACCTCGTCATGGAAGATTCATCAAACAAAAAAGTTTTAGTTAAAATATTCATTACATTTTATTTGATATTATTACTCAGTAATAACTAAGTAATCAGTAATACCATTTAATGATTTCATTTATGAATGAAAAAATTATTTATACCCAAAATTCTGTGATTCCATCAATATTTTAAAATGTTTTTTAGCTTAAAACATAATGCATCATAAAATTTGTGATATTATTGTAAGATTTGAAAGTTTCATCTCATCAAAACATTTTTGCCTTTTTTATTTTCTCTAACAAAATTTCTTAAAATAAATTATAATAAATAGAAATTTTATATGGCAAAGATGATTGTGTAATAATTAAATAGGAAGGAAAGAAAATTTTCAACAAATTATTAAATTATACTAACACTTTAATAATTCTCATTTATTTATACTTCACAAATTTTCCACAAGATAAAATCAATCGCACAACATTCATTTCTTAATTTGTTAAGCTGATCATATCATTTATCAGTCATGCAAATCTTTTTCTTTTATAGAATACACTTCATGAGACTAAGATCAAACTGTGATTCTCAACTTTCCTATCTACTGATAATACAGATGACTAGTTGCATAAGTTAGTGATATATTGATAAGATAATCAATTGCACAACAACCATTTCTTAATTTGTTAAGCTGATCATATCATTTATCAGTCATGCAAACCTTTTTCCTTTATAGAATACACTTCATGAGACTAAGATCAAACTGTGATTCTCAACTTTCCTATCTGTCTACTGATAATACAGATGACTAGTTGCATAAGTTAGTGATATATTGATAAGATAATTAATTGCACAACATCCATTTCTTAATTTGTTAAGCTGATCATATCATTTATCAGTCATGCAAATCTTTTTCCTTTATAGAATACACTTCATGAGACTAAGATCAAACTGTGATTCTCAACTTTCCTATCTACTGATAATACAGATGACTAGTTGCATAAGTTAGTGATATATTGATAAGATAATTAATTGCACAACATCCATTTCTTAATTTGTTAAGCTGATCATATCATTTATCAGTCATGCAAATCTTTTTCCTTTATAGAATACACTTCATGAGACTAAGATCAAACTGTGATTCTCAACTTTCCTATCTACTGATAATACAGATGACTAGTTGCATAAGTTAGTGATATATTGATAAGATAATTAATTGCACAACATCCATTTCTTAATTTGTTAAGCTGATCATATCATTTATCAGTCATGCAAATCTTTTTCCTTTATAGAATACACTTCATGAGACTAAGATCAAACTGTGATTCTCAACTTTCCTATCTACTGATAATACAGATGACTAGTTGCATAAGTTAGTGATATATTGATAAGATAATTAATTGCACAACATCCATTTCTTAATTTGTTAAGCTGATCATATCATTTATCAGTCATGCAAATCTTTTTCCTTTATAGAATACACTTCATGAGACTAAGATCAAACTGTGATTCTCAACTTTCCTATCTATCTGTCTACTGATAATACAGATGACTAGTTGCATAAGTTAGTGATATATTGATAAGATAATTAATTGCACAACATCCATTTCTTAATTTGTTAAGCTGATCATATCATTTATCAGTCATGCAAATCTTTCTCCTTTATAGAATACACTTCATGAGACTAAGATCAAACTGTGATTCTCAACTTTCCTATCTATCTATCTACTGATAATACAGATGACTAGTTGCATAAGTTAGTGATATATTGATAAGATAACAATTGTGTGGCAATTCGATTTTATCATAATGAGTGGATGAAACGAATTTTTGATTTGTTCTGCTTATTAGTTTATCTTTCCAAGTAATTCCTAGCGTAATTTATTACTTATTAATCACTTACTTACTTGTTACTTATCAACTTACTTATTATTAATCAGTTTGAATATATCTAAACGTATTGATTAGCACATATATATATTAACATTTCATTGTTTACCACTAATTTATTGATTAGTTTTCTTTTTTAAATTAATAATTAATTAATTATTATTGATTAGATTTAATTAGATGCTATAACGCAGTATCTAACAATTAAAATTGTTTCTTTGCAATAAAAACCTAACCAAAATTAAAGCAAATTTATTTGTAATTCCAATCAAAATTTTCTCTTCTGCTATTTTTATTTTGGTAATTTAAAAATGTTCAAAAAAAGAAAAAAGAGACTAAAAAATTTGAAAAAATTATTGAAAACAAATGCAAAAAAAAAAAAAAACATATTTTCAGAAATTTTAACATATTATTTTTATTATAATTTTCAATTGAATTCTTTAAATAAAATATAAAACATTGATTAATTAACAAAATTTATGCTTATAATATCAGTTGTTAAAAGTTTCAAAATTTTTGCACTTATCAAAATTATAAACAAATGAATTTATTCTATGAAAAATACCAGCAAAAGTGATACGTCATTAGTTGAAATGACGCAATTAAAAAATTTACGTTTAACTTTTAATTAAACCTTTATCTCTTAACTTAACTAATTGTTATCATTTGACGTCACAAAATGTTGCATTGTTTACCTTAGTTAATCTTATGTTTACCTTAGTTAACGGAAATGATTTCATTCTTAGATAAAATCTCAAAGTATAATATCAAATTACGGATAGAATTTATTATTCAAACATTCATTGCAAAAAAATGTAATATTATCCCAGTTTCTTTTCTTTTTATGTAAACATTATAAAGTGTGCATCATATCTAATTTAATATTTGTTTTACAATTATTTCAAGAATTCAAAAAATAAATTCCGTAATATTTTTTGAATAAATTTTCTAAAAATTTTAAAAAAAACAAAAAGTAAAACTAAAGAATGAATGAATATTGAAAAAAAAAAAAACACTGCTTTAATTATTAATTAGTAATAAATTAGGAAAGCAAATAATTCCTTTTCGTAGATTGTATCGCATTTTTTAGATCATATATTAAAAATTTGGATTTAAATATTAGCACTAAAATTTTCGTAGGTTTTCTTACTTTATTTTTAAAAAGTTTTTTTTTAAGCTAAAATTTAATCGCAATAGTTGATAAGATACTAATCATGCAAATGTGTAAGAAATTCATAAAGTTTTAATTTAACTCAAAAAGTTACATTTGATTCAACAGGAATGATCAGTAAGACAAATTTGTTTACTTAAAAAGTTTTTTGATGCAAATAAAAGTTTTTGATGCTGAAATTATCTGTATCAACAATAAAAAATTTGGCTAAATCAAAGCCAAATAAAATTTTGAATTTGTGGCATTCAATTTCATAAAAGGAAAATACCGATTTCTTTTTTTTGAATTTTATAAAAATGAAACAATTAAAAAAAAAATGATCAATCTTTAATAAAAAAGGAAGATACTCATAAATTATGAAAAATTCAAGATTTAAAATGTCTAATATGATTATTGAATGACATGAAACAACAATTAATTATACAGTTATTAATTTTTATGAAATGTGATTATCACTTTTATTTAATCATTATCATTTTTACTTGATGAATATTTTTTTTTATATAAGAATTATTTTTATTTGAATGTATAAACATTGCTTTTTCTTATTTTGAAATAAAACTTCTGTATTTTAAATTTAATTAAACATTATCAATTTGAGGAAAATAACAGTCATTCGAATCAAAAACTGTGAAGAAAAAAAAATTATGCTGAAATGTTGCTGATATGAAAATAAATAAGTAAATAAAAACCATCTAAAAATAATAATTTTGAGGTTAGAGCTTTCGCCGCTAATTCAATTTAGCTTTTCATTATAAGTCTATGCGCCTGTGCGTTTCATGTAGACATCAAATTTCATTGTTCTTTGCATTCGGCATCGATGCAACAATTACTCTGTGTAATTGTCTTCCGGAATAGTTATATTTCCGGTTTCTTCTTTTTTCAGTGGTTTTTTATAACGTATTAGGTTGAGAGAGAAAATATGGAAAAAAGAAATAGATAAGCACTGATACATGTAATTAGTACATGTAAAGTGTCGTGAACAGTAGAAATAGTATGGGATCGTTGATTGAAAAGATTGATAAAAATGATAAGAATTATTATATACTACATAAGTAATGAGTAAGTGCTGTTTATAGTATGTAGCGTCAATAACTTGCTAATTCTTCTTGCTGATTAGAGTATTCGTAGTTGTCACGAATGGATATACTTATTAAAATTAAAATTGTCTTGTTTCTCCTACTTTTTTTTCCACTAGTAGTAATTATCGAATAACTCCAAAAAGAAGTTGATACTATTATGGAATAGAAACATAAATTTGTTTACTTGTTAGACCTTTTTCCTTTTTTTTATTGTAATAAATTCCGATGTTACAGTGAAAAATACCGATTCATGTGTATTTGAGAAATTATGTTTGAAGAAGTTATTTTTAGGGTATGTGTTACTAAACAAGTTTTTGTTTCTTTAAAAACTAACCCGTCATGAGCAGTAACTCGAAGGGCCATGTCACGAATCGATTTGAAAGGTTTTGGTGGAAGATGTCTACCAAACGATTTTGATGATTTTAATTTTGATGTTTTGTCTGAAGACGATGTTAGTTATTTAGATTTT